TCCCCAACGCCGTCTTCGACATGTGGCAGGCATCGACCAACGGCAAATACGACGCGCACGACCCGGAGAACCAGTCGCGGCACAACCTGCGCGGCAAGTTCCGCACCGACGCCGCGGGCCGCTTCGACTTTTACTGCCTCAAGCCGACCGAGTACGCCATCGACACGTCGGGCCCGTCGGCGACGCTGCTGCACATGATGGGCCGCCACCCCTACCGCCCCGCCCACATCCACATCATGGTCACGCACGACGACTTCCTCGGCGTCACGGCCCAGCTGTACCCGCGCGACGACCCCTACCTGTCCACCGACACGGCGTGCGCCGTCAAGGACGACCTGCTGCTCGACTTTACGCCGCTGACGGGCGACAAGAACGGCGCCGTGCTCGACTGCGAGTACAACGTCACGCTGGCGTCGAAGAAGTACAAGCCCGAGATGACCATGCTCATGGGCAACGCCAACCAGGACAACTTTTAGGGAAAGGGGGTTCTGCGTGGTGGGGTGGGATGGGTTGGGAGAAGGCAAAACTGCATGCATTGGATGTAAAAGAAAAATGACGAGCCATGTTTTTTTTTAAGTTACGCATTTGGGGTTTATTTCCAGTGGTTCAAGTTTTTATTGGTTATGATTAATGGACTTGCACTGTCAAACAATACCTTCAAAAAAGCTGTGGGCTTTCATCCCAATGTGACACTCTCGGGCACGATTCGTGATCGTGAAGATGTACCGAATGGCCAGCTGAACAATACGATCTGCCGCTGAAGCTATAAAACGGCAACGCCCATCCAGTCACAACGGACCATGGCCAGCTCGTCGTGGTGATCGAAGACGGATCTGCTGGTTCGCATCACATATCACCCGTCACCATCAAAGAGGCAAGCCAAACGACCCCGCATTTCATCATAGTCCTCAGGAAGCCGCGACGCAGACCGTCATCGCGAGACTGGGGCAGGAGCATGTGGGGCTACGTCTTTCTCCAACGAGGAAGAACATTCATCCCCCTCTCATCTTGGCGGCCGACCTGATCCTCCTGATTCATTCCAACCCACTCCAGCTACCTACCTTACCTACCTTACCTACCTACACAAGGTTCTTCAGCTTCCGACAGACATCGTGAACAAGGAGCGCAGTGCCCTACCCGCCGTTACGCAGACACTCTGTCGTGCGACGCCGGATCGAATACGGGAGACAGGCGCTGTCGCACAACACATGCCTTGATTGAACAGGCCGTGCTTCCCACGGCTACCGCGAGTCACATCTGCCGCCGCATTTCCCGATCATCCATCCCAGGTGCCCCACACGTCCCACATGAGGAACACCGAAGGGGCGGGAAAAGGAGGGGGAGGGGCACCAGGGAAGAACCCAAGGGGTCAAAGTAATACCAGGTCGCCCGGGTCCAGACATCTGATAGCATGATGTCAGGTCCATTACCTCTGATCCCAATCCCGGCTTACACCGACCGACGCCGCCCCTCCGTTTGCCGATTCCAGCGTCCGAGGTTCGTGTACTTTTTTTGCCAGGCCCATTGTTGTTGTTGTTCGCTTCGACATTTCTCTTTGCCATCCTGTTCACTCTCTCTGTCGTGTCCCTTGGCTGGTTGCTCCGTCATCGGCTGCCTGTCCACTCGGCTTTCCTCTCTCTCCTTGTTCCTCTACTGACTGCCAGCACCACGACGCAGCTCATGCAATCCTTGACTTCGTTCCTCGTCCGAAGCAATCACACCTTGGCGTCGGCCAGCCGACTGTCTCCTTCTCTTCTCACAGCGCACCCCAGCTACGCCTGCCGAGCCTTCTCGACGACGCCCAAAATGCCCGTCCATCACCTCATGATAGGCACCTGGACCCCTCCGGGTGCCATTTTCACTGTCGCTTTTGACGATGAGAAGCTGACCCTCGAGCTCGTCAAGCGTACCGAGATTCCCCAGGACGAACCCATCTCATGGATGACCTTTGATGTTTGTTCGCACTGGCTGCTACATGTTCACACCTCACTGACATGCCTCCCAGCACAAGAAGAAGAATATTTACGGCGCGGCCATGAAGAAGTGGTCATCCTATGCCGTCGAGTCACCAACGTCCATCACCCACACGGCCTCCCACCCCATGACCCATGAGCCCGAAGCCTCCTCCGCCTCGACCAACACGCGCGCCATCTTCCTCCTCGCCGCGCAGAAGCCGCCCTACGCCGTCTACGCGAACCCCTTTTACAACCATGCCGGCCACGGCACCGTCTACGGTGTCGACGAGGCCGGCACCCTGGCCGCCGACTCCGTCCACCACTTCCCCCTCGACCCCCACTCGGGCATCCACGGCTCCGTCTTTGACCCGACAGAGTCCTACCTCTACTCGGCCGACCTCCGCGCCAACAAGATCTGGACCCACGCCAAGGACCCCGTCACGGGCGCCCTGACCCTCGTCGACGGCCAGGCCGCGCCCGACGCCGGCGACCACCCGCGCTGGACCGCCATGCACCCCTCGGGCACCCACCTCTACGCCCTCATGGAGGCCTCGAACAAGATCCGCGTCTACCGCATCAACCCGACCACTCACGTCCCCGAGTACACGGGTGCCCACTACCCCCTCATCCCGCCCGGCATCCCCAACCCCAAGACCATGTACCGCGCCGACGTCTGCGCCCTGACCCAGTCGGGCCGCTACCTCTTCGCCTCGTCGCGCGCCAACGACTTTGGCCTGACCGGCTATATTGCCGCCTTTAAGCTCCGCGACGACGGCGAAATCGAGCGCCAAATCTGCCTCAACCCCACCCCGACGAGCGGCGGCCACAGCAACGCCGTCGCGCCGTGCGACTGGTCCGACGAGTGGGTCGCCATCACCGACGACCAGGAGGGCTGGCTCGACATGTACAGGTGGCAGGACGAGTTCCTCGCGCGCGTCGCCCGCCTGCGCATCCCCGAGCCGGGCTTTGGCATGAACGCCATCTGGTACGACTAGTCTCTGCCTGGCCGGATCGCATTCGATGCGGAGGTAGGAGGTAGATCAACGGATAGAACAGACGAAGATGCCATAGAAGAAGAAGAAGATGAAGAAGAAAAAGGTTGTAAATTGAACATGGAACATGAACTCTGCTACCCCGGCCCCTTCACCCCTTTCCCTAGCTAGGCCTGTGTCCCTATTGCCATGCCTGCACTCGAGGTTGCGTTCCGCCTCTCAGCCCTTTCCTTACCCCCCGACAGCCCTCATTTTGTACATCCCGCCTGCGCCCGAGGCCCAAAACCCTGATCCTACAGCGAAAAAGGACAAGCACACCTAAGCCTTGCCGCCCTTCTTCTTCTTCTTGTTCTTCTTCTTCTTCGGCCCCACCAGCGTACCCTCGGCGTTGGACGGCGCCGTCGAAGGACCCGCCTCGTCCGCAGCCTCGGCCTCCTCCGACTCCTGCGCCGCTGCCGCGTAGGATATGCTGTCTTCCTGATCGCTCTTCTTGGCCGGTTGTCTGTTGCCCGACGCCGCCGACAGCTTGGACTCGTTGTCCGAGTCGGAGCTCGCCGCCTGGATGACAATCTTGCGCACGCCGCTGCTCGTCTCCACAATGTTCTCGCTGATGCTACCGCTGCGAACAAGCGTCCTGCGGCGCGGCGTGACGCCGCCGCCGCCGCCGTCCTCGTTGGCGCTGGTGATGCTGCCGCGGCTGCTAGCCCGGCCGTTGTCCACGGCGACGGTAAGGTCCGGCTTCGTGGTCGACGTGGGGCTGGTGTTGCTGCTTGTGCCGGCGCCGGCCCCGCGGGGCTCTGCATCCTTGATTGTGGGCATCTGCAGCTCGGGCACGGCCTGCGTCGTTTCCAGGGGGACCAAATCGTCGTATTCCTGGGCGGCGAGGCGCGCCTGGGCACCGCTCATGCCAGCCCCGACATAGCTCTTGCGTACTGCGTGGACGCCACCCTTACCTGTGAGCTTGGGTCGCGCGATGAGCGGCGTGTTCTCGTCCTCGATGACCTCATCGTCCAGAAGACGAGACTCGATCAGGTCGCCGGCCACGGAGGCGGGGCGACTCCTCTGCGCAGGAGGTTGCACAACGACTTGTCCACCCATTGCCGTCTTCTTAATCTTGACCGTCGTCGACTTGGTGTCCCTGGGGTTCGTGTTGCGGTTTGATGGGCCAAGGTGCTTGAGCTGGCGCTTGATCTCCTCGAGATTGGCCTTGACCGGCACCGTCGTGGCCTGCATCCGTCCATCGGGGCCTGCCGAGCTTCGGCGCATCAGGAACGTTGCCGTCTTTCCAGGACTCGTAGACATGTTGGCGACGTCACCTTGACCGCCAAGTGAGCTGATGCGCTTATCATGGGGCTCTTCGTCATCGCCAACATCAATGAGCTTGCCGTTTCCGTTCTCGTTCGCGCGGTTGGCCACGTCCTCCATGTCCTTCTTCATAGGTCGGGCTTTGGGGGCCGGGGTCAGACGGCGAATCGCCTTGTGGACATCAATGTACACGTCTGACTCGTCGATGATTTCCCTGTTCAACTGTTAGTCGACGATTTCCAACACGATGAGAAAGTGTACCTACTCTCCGATAAGCTCCTCGATGACGTCCTCAAGAGTGACGACACCAAGCGCGCCGTAGTCCTCACCAGGAGACTCAGAAACCAACACCATGTGAGACTTGCCCTCCTGGAAGAAGTTGACGATATCGAGACAGCTGGTCTCGGGGCGCGTCTCAGGCAGGGTAGCCAGAGGGAAATCCTTGACCTTCCAGGCGTCTTCGGGGTCATACGTGATGAGAATCTTGACCAGGAGCATGCCCACAAAGTCTCTGGGCTTGCCCGGTGCATGAATGGGGATTCGAGAGTAGCCTTCCGATAGGATTCGGTCCATGGTCTTCTCGTCGAGGACAGTATCCTCGGCCATGGTGAAGACATCGTCCATAGGCGTCATGACAGTTTCGACAGACTTGTCCTTCAGGTCGAGAACGGCGCTGATGATGGTGACCTCGTCCTGGTTCAGACGCTCGCCAACCTCGCCAAGAGACTTGTGCAACGTGACGAGAGTCTTGAGGCCACTCTTCTTGTAAATAGTACCGTGGTCCTCGCCGAGTGCCCAATCGAGAAGCTTGGCGGTGGGCCAGGCGACCGGGGCCATCAGCCACATCATGACAAGCACGGGCTTGGCCATGATACCGCCAATCTGGAGGCCGTAGCGGACACAGATGGACTGAGGCACCACTTCACCGAAGATGACGATCAGCACAGTACTGCCAACAACAGCTGCCACACCACCGCCGAGACAGCGATCGAGAACAACGGGCAGAGTCTCGTTGACGATAACATTGGACAGGAGGAGCGTGACGAGAACCCAGTGCTTTCCCTTCTTCAGCAGGTTATAGACGCGTTTCGCGTTCTTAGACTGAGGTTCGTACGGGTCGCCGGCCATGACCTGAAGGTATATGCTGTCCTGACCCATCAAACTGGCAAGAGTTAGCGACATGGCGCAGGAGATGAAGGATGCTGCTGTACGTACGCGATGGTTAGGCCGGCAAAGGCGCCACCGAGGAGGACAAGCACGAGAGAGACGATGAAGAGGACGGTTCGGGTGCTACCCGTCTCCTCGGGCACGTCGTCATGATGATCTCTGATGCCCAGAGGCGCGCCTGCAACAGAGGAGACACCCAGGGTGAGAGCCTTGGCCAGGCCAATTACGCCCGTACGGACGATGCCGAATGTGCCAGAGGCATTTCCGGGTCGCGTTGATGACCTCGTGGTCATCATATGAGGGTGCTGTGCGAAGGGCGTTCGTTGATGGCGCTGTGGATGTTGGAGAGGAGGGGAATTTATCCGACCGAGGCGCGGACGGAAATAATACTTGCAGTCGGACGCCCAAGGTTGGGAGGAGGGCAATAGGGTTCGTCTCGAGGTCGTCGCGTTATCTCAGACGTGAAGGTGGCGTCGAGTCAAAAAGGGCTGTGGCGACACTTTTGAGGGGGTCGGGAAATTGGTTCGTGTCAGTAAGGTGTTACCCGGATACCACGAGCCCGATTCGCGAGAAGCCAGATGCGTAGCTCGGGATACTGAGGAGCAGGTCGACGAAATCGATTGATAGGTGGACAAGGTGGGATGTAGTGACGAAGCCGAAGCTGGCGGCGACGTTTGGATTGAGAGATGGGTTTTTGGTGGGCAGGAAAATGAAGTCAGAGCAAGCAGGAGAGCCTAGAGCTGCACTAGGACGGAGCTACAGGCCGCAACGGGTCGAGAACTGGAGCCCAGACGAGGGGGTCTTTTGATGACGCGCGATTGAACCCCCATAATCATGGAAATACGTATCAGTGATTGGCGTATTGGAAGAGCTTTGCGGCTGGGGCACGGAGCACAGGCGAACGCCTGGAGGGGACCCCTGCTTGGCAGTGCTTGAGCCTGGTACGGGCCATCTGTGTGAGGCACCTGGAGGCCCCCACCAAGCCCAGAGAACAGCAGCAGAAAGCAGATCGGACAGACACAGGCACCAACCACAGACCATCGGACATTGCCCGAGCCCAGAGGGAGAGGAGGACCCAAAGGCCAGGCAGGTCAAGTCGATCAATGACCAACACCATGAAATGCAGAGACTCGGCTGAAGAGTCGGTCTCTCATGGACCTCACTCATCCTCATTCTCGTCAATTGACCTCAAACGCTTTGCTTCCCTTGTCTAACTTCTACTAGTCGACCAGTTGATGGCCTCTGCTCAGGCTCCAAGCTCCTCAGGGTTGCTTGCATCGATGGAGTTCGATCCACCGCCGCTCAGTGACATCACCAAAAACCCCCCCTTTCCCTACCGCAGCCGGGCGCCCTTCCCTCTGCCTCCACCCGCTTCCGCCTGCACATGCAAAATGCCTGCCTCAGCTGTAGTCGCACGCACAGTGCAAGTGCAAGCAAGCCATCGCATCGTGCTTGCCGTCCTGTTCCACTCCTGCTCCACCATGTGCCCGTAGCGCGCCCCATTCCCATGCCGCTCATCCTGTTCGTCCTGTTCATGCCGTGATCTCCATCTGCTGACTCAGAGCTTCACGAGACTCACATCTAATATGCCCTCAGTTCCCTTGAGGTCTGTCACAACCTCAGCACTGACTCCATCAACACCAAGGATCATCAATGCCTCGTTCTCCTCATTTCCGTTCTCGCCTTCGACTCTCTTCCTCTTGGCTCCAGCGTCGACACTTGCTACTTGCATGAAGCGGATGTTCACACCGTAGCGGCCCAATACCATGCCGACACCTCCAATCTTGCCAGGCTCGTCATAGTTGTGCAGCACCAGCAGCGTGCCTTCGGGCTCGAAAGTCGCGTTGAAGCGATCCAGCCGTGAGATGTAGATACTTTGGCCTGAAACGTAGCCCTCAATCACCTGTTCGCTGCCTGGCCGGTCATCGTATGACCGGAGCGTGACGAGGCTCGAGTAGATGGCGTTTGTCCGGTCGCCGCTGTGCGTCTCGCTAATGACCACACCTCGCTCCTTGGCGATCATGTTGGCATTGACAATGTTGACATCGCGTCCGCCTGCATCACTGATCGAAGAAACGAGCCCTTTGACCAGCGCCGCCAGAAGCGGCCGCGTGTTCGAGATACCAGACAGCTCGCCATGATACACTAACTCAAACTTGCGTCCTCCCACCATGCCGCCTTTGCTGCCGACGAAATGTTGCGTGTAGAGGCCGCCCATCTTTTCGATGAGGCGGACGAATGGCTGCAGCTTCTTGTATTCCTCGGGCAGGATGAGCGGCGCGTTGACAGCTGCCGTTGGCATTCCGCCGCCGAGAATCTCGACCACCTGCGTGCACACGTCCATTGACACATTTTCTTGTGCTTCGACCGTTGATGCGCCGAGATGAGGTGTCGCAACGACCTTAGGGTGTCTTGTCAACCGGGCCGCCGTTGAGTCTGCCACGGGCGGTTCCGCAGTGAAGACGTCGAGGCCGGCACCAGCGATCCAACCTTCGTCGAGCGCCGTCAGCAGCGCGGCCTCATTGTAGACTCCGCCACGAGCAACGTTGAGCACGCGGGCCGTCTTCTTCATCCTCTTGAACTCGTCTTCCTTGAGCAGGTCCAGAGTGCTCGTCATGAGTGGCGTGTGAATGGTCAAAAAGTCGACATCTGGAAGGATGGTCTGCAGATCTGGCACGAGCTCGACGTGCGCCTGTCGAGCAATATCCTTGCTGGCGTACGGGTCGACCGCCTTGACCTTCATGCCGAGCCCAATGGCCATACGTGCCACCTTCATGCCGACCTTGCCAAGGCCGATGATGCCCAGCGTCTTGTTGCCCACTTCGACACCCACGAGCTTGCCGCGCTCCCACTTGCCATCCTTCATCGTCGTGTCTGCACGACCAACGTTCCGCGCAGTGGCAAACAGAAGGGCAATCGTATGCTCGGCCGCCGCGAGGATATTTCCGGCTGGCGAGTTGACAACAATGATGCCGTGTTGGGTCGCGGCGTCGACATCAATGTTGTCAACACCAACGCCAGCTCGTGCCACCACCTTGAGTTTCTTGCCTGCCGCCAGCACATCTGCATTGACTTTTGTCTCAGACCGCACGATCAGGGCATGGTAGCCTGGGATCTCGGCAATGAGCTCTTCTGCTGACAGACCGAGCCGGTTGTCTACATCGTACTTGTCTTTGAGCAGCGCGAGGCCGTCGGGTGAGACCTTTTCGGGCACGAGGATGCGGGGCTTGTCGGCGACGAGGGAGGACACGGCCGACGTGAATTGCCCGATCGCTGAGGGAGCCATTTTCGGTATCGGTAGAGTTATGGTATGCACGGTCAAAGTAGATTCAATTGGTATCACGGGCAGACACGGTTGACAGGATGGATGCGGGGGACGGGATGGAGCTGATGAGGGAAGTATAACCAAGAGGCAACAAAGCAGGACGCCGCAGGTGCGCCCGCCAGAGCTTTTAAGGTCCGTCCATCTTGCGTTTTGTGAGCGCCCAGTCCAGCTCAGCTTAGGGAGCCGTCATCAGCTCATTTCCAACCCATCATACTTGCAGAAAATACTTGCAGCTCGGGCTTTCTCGACCTTTGGGGGAAATCAGCATGCAGCTGTCCCTCGTCCAAGCTCCCGTCGCGAATGGCCTCCCACGCGTTTCGACCAGGCACACGTCGCAAGCCACTAATACGATTTACACATCACCACCTGCGGCTCCCCGGGCTGCGTCATTCAGCCTATAGCTTTTCTCTCTTGGACGATCTCACAGTTTACGCTACGCCCTTCTGTCAGCCCGCGCAACCCCCTCACCTGACGTACGATATAAACCTTTTTGTCGCGTTTCCCCCCACGTTTGAGCTTATGCAGCCCAATGCAGCCCGATCTGCCGTCCCCCGCATTTTGACTGGTGGGACCTCGATAGGGTCGGCGGAGCGCGGGGGTGACGGGGTGGTCTCAGGTTCTGGAATGCGCGGGGTTCATTGGGTGGTTATGGTGACTGGGATGTTCTCCGTCAATGGGGGAGCATCCTGGACAGCTTTGTTTCCGTGAAGGGTGAGATGCGTTAGGCAGCTTGTGTGCAGCTGTACTGGATAGGGGCAAGCATTCAGCGACACAGGCGATGGATTGGTTTGTTGTTTATGCGTCTCATCGAGTACGATCCTTCTGCTGTTTCACTCACGTTTAGGAGGTGACCATGCTGCGGTTTCTCGGTTCTCGGCATCACTTGCTGATCCTTGGGACATCACACGCCTCTATCAACAGGCGTCTAAGGGAACTCGCGACAGAAGATGCTCCATTTCTACGTGGATGATGTCGTTGAAGGGCGTCTGGATGCTTGGAGCTGAAGTGAACCTCTACTGTGTCTCCAAGTGTACGCTTGTTCAACGCAAGAGAATCAGAGGGCGCCAATGGGCCTGCCACGATCGCGAGAAGAAACCTGTCATGCCGTGCACGGCAGCTCCGTGGTCATCGCTGTGTCGAATTAAGTGACGCGATTTGTGTCGTCGAGAGGACAAGAACATGGCCGCGAACCCGCAATGGAAGTTCGTCAATCTAGGTCGTTCTAAGAGGCAACGTTCTAAGATGCTGCTTGCTTCTCAAGCTTCTTAAAAAGGCTCCTGTCCTTCGTGGTGTGGTCTTTTCAGCAGATCTCCTGCCCCCACTATCACATTCACACATGTAATACTCACCCTGACTTCTACTCTTTACGAACACATTGAATTCAGAATGAAGGTTGCCACTGCCCTCTCACAGTTTCTTTGCTTGGGAACAGTGTGGGCCCTGAAAGGCAAATTCAGCTTCTACAATGCGGGGTTGGACATTGGGACCATCCAGGGCAAGTCCAGGTCGTATGTCTACATTGGCGCCAATTCTTTGATCGTAAGTCTACTAAGCATCAACGAGACTCCCCTGAGTTGTGTTGTGTGGCATCTAATCTAGGATGTTGACTAGGATGATGAAGATGGGACGCCTGTGGTGGGGCAGAACGTTTCGTTCACAGGCACGCGGGTGCTCAACACCTGGATTGCCACGGATGTGGACCTTCTCGGCTGAGACGTCGGCTTGCTACGACTATGGTGCTGCTCAGATGCTGCCCTTGATTGGGCAATCGTTCCGGGGTGGCCGGTTATGGACCAGGTAGAGACGTGCCTTTGGCGCTGTAGTCTGGCCATGTTCATCCTGGAATGTTCGTGGCTCTACAGACGGTGACGCTTTTGGTGCTTCTGCATCAGTACCACCCTAGTGCAGATTCTCAATCTCTTGATAACGAGGACAAACAGCTTGTGTCCCAAATGCAGACCTTTATCGTTCAGAACGATCGTCAAAGCTCCCTGAGGCGTGCTAAAGATCTTGAGGGACGGATAACAACGTCGAACCGGGAAAATCTCCAGTACATCACACCCTACGCAATCTGACTTGTCTTCCAGTACGCAGACATAGATTAGGCTGAATTAGGACTGCTGTGATGACAGCGCAGCGTGTTTACAATTGCTACACATAAATAGTTCAGACGGAAACATGCTTCGTGTCATCCGATGCTACCATGGACCCACCAGCACCCGGCGGTGAGCGCACTCTATGATGTTGAATAAGGTAGATAAGGTGAACGAATTAGGTATGTATCTTAGATATCGAGGCCTGTGGGACTTGTCAGTCAATTCCGAACCTACATTCGTGGTCCATCTCTACTCTGGCGTGAGGTTCATGTCTACAGAATGAGTCAAAAGTCACATGGTTTGGTGCCAGTGTTGCCCGCGCAATATGGGAGTTGTATCGTGTACCAGAGGCAGACAAGTTTGTGCCGCTAGACTAACGCATCTAGCCTGTTCTTCCCACGCTCATTGTGCAATATACAAATGCACCCATGTGCCAGAGAGACGTTGGCCATGTCACCAAACCCCATTACTCTTCTTTCAGCAGGTTCTCGGTCCTTTGGGGTACATATAGCTCCGGTGGACAGCTTTTGCCCTTGCTTCAATACATCCAGCCACACCCTAGTCGACTCATTAAGCCCACCAAAACCATCATGAAGCTCTCTACTACTCTACTGTGCGCATTCTGCCTCGCGGGCGTGTCAGCTCTGGAAGACAGAAAGCTCATTGATGGCGTATTTACTGCCTACGACGATATCCTTAGTTGGGCAGCATCATCAGCGTAGATAAGCGCAGTTTTCTGTTCCCCAACCTCAATTCTCTGATTGTAAGTCTACACGTTTGGTTTGCATTATGTTTTCCCACCACTGACACTGGTATTTGACCAGGCTAAGGAAGATCTGCTTCCTCGCGTGGGGAGAAAGGTCAAGTTTCGGTCCGGTTTGCTAAGCGGCTTGATCCCGATTGCTGTTGACGTGGATATCCTCTGACGTACAACCTCCTTTTGCAGGCTTTCAGACTTGGGGATGAGATTTTCAATCAACAAATCCCAATGCATGCTGAGGGATGATGACTGTACCGATCAGAAGTACTGTGTCAGTTAATATATCTGAAGTTAATGTAGCCCAGTGGAGAAGCAACACTACTGGCTACTCCGTCAAATGCCTCTGGTGACACTCATTCCTCCAGCTGACGTTCTTAGCGGTAGTCTTCCGCGAATACACCTCCTCCATAGACGGCGCGTCGCCAATACAAGGACAACGTGAAGCTTGTTGCGCTTGTCGTGAAGCTTGCCTGCGCTAGAGAGCTAGCATAGACTCCTGATTGTGGAAGACAGAGCACTGACCCCCTACCGGCCGGCCGTTATTCCCACTTTGGCCATCTCTACGGATGTTATTCACATTAGGCCGCAAAGGCTCCCGTAGTGATTTCTCATGGTCTGAATATTCGCGGTGCTGCCTGGCTGAGTGCCAGACTTTGCGGAACGTCAAACCTGAAGCTGACGCATTCTTCAACCTCTCGGCGGGGGCGGGTTGTCTGTCCACAGGTTCGGCGAATCTTCAAAGCCAGGGCAAGGGCCAAAGGCCTGAGGCATTTGTCAGCTACATTTTGTGTTTTATAACAATATCACAAAAACGTCTTGCATACCGAGGAGTCGAGATCCAGCCAGTCCGTTGTCTGCCATCCGTCTAACAAGTCCACGCCCCCAAATCCTGCGTCACCCTCGGACACAAACATCTGTTGACCAGCTTGTTCGTCCGTGTTTCGTTCGCCCACATTAGCCATTGCGGCTATCGGTCCCGTGCTTCTGCTTTGATGTTGCTCGGGCTGCTGAGGATGAGCATCAGTAGCTGGCTGCGCTTGTCTCGGGGCGCGCGCCAGTTGCCGTTGAGCCTCCTGTCGCAGCTCCTCGATGATGACGCTGTACCTGCGGCTCGGGCTGTCTGGTGCGGTTGCCCGGGCCAGGTGATTTTGACAACGCTCTGCTAGCTCGATCAGTGGGCGTAGCCCGTGGTCATCCTCCGGTGCGGCACGGCTCTGTTGTATTTCCCAGACATACACCACGGCTAGAGCACAAAACGTCACATAGGGTGTCCACCATAGCGCATGGAAAAGCGTTCCATCTGTGGCCATTGTGTCGACCGTCTCAAGCGCGGTCTTGGCCGCGTTAATGCACTCCGCGACGCTGTCCTCCAGCGGCGTAGGATGTCCTTCACCGTTGTTTCCTGGCGTCCCAAGAATGAAGGGTCGATTGACATGCATAATTGCGTGACAGTACGCAAGCTTGAGCGCCGTAGCTTGGCGTCTGAATGATGGGATGAGAGACATGGGGCGCAGCGTGCCAAGGTGATATGGGAGCGACTCGCGCCACTGGTAAAGCTCATGACTGAACTTGTGGGCGGACTCCAGCCGCTCCTGTTTTGATGTCTTCTTGATCGAGTAGACTTCTCTCGAGACGCGGTCTATCAATTGAGCGAGTTTCGCATGGCAGATGAGAGAATCTACTTGGCAGTCCATCTTTGGCTCGTGTGCTGCCCGACCCTGCGGGGTCATGTCCTCGTCGTTGACTTCGTCGGGAAAGTCCTGGTCAATATCGTCATCGTGGTAGAGCCTCGGACGGCCGAAAACAACAGCTAAATACTTGTCGATCGTGTATGCCACCCAGAATGTTCGTTTACGACACTGGGAGGCGATATAGTCGAAACTGGTTGACCTTGGGCCGCTCGTTCCACGTTTTCCGCCGGACCGTCGATGAAGGCCTAGAGCTGAGACGATGGGAAGCGTGCTGCCGAATATGTACCAGGCTTGATTCATCCGCGCAGACTGCAGGAGATATAACACTTGTAGTAGCCTTGCCTGTACCGAGTCCAAGCTTGGTCGACCGACTTCATTGTCCGTCAAATTTGTCGCGGCGCAAAAAAGTGAATCACTTCTCTTGAGGACGACAAATCCACCGTCGGCTGCGAGCGAAGCCACATCGTTGATTTGTATTTGGCGCAGAGTGACAATGGCTAAAATGTTCAGTACAACAGCCGCCTTTGCATGCCCAATGCCGTAATACAGCGGCAGATCGGCCTGTCGATTTGCCAGAACAGCAGTGAACCACCTCGTTACATAGCCTTGGTGCAAGCAGCGGTACGTAACAACGCAGACATCGAAGTAGTACTGCAGCATCTCCATAGCAGTCGCATGGTCCGGGATGATGAGTATATCTCCTGCATGAACAGCAAAGGGTTTATCGCCAGCTGATATCATGCTTTGATGGTGCTCTGTGTTGTTGGACACTTGAGGAGCAATACCCGCCGTGTCTTTTTGTGACGAGAGCCTCTTCCATGCCCGGTGAAGAAAGGTCAAGCTTGAAGTTGGATCGAGGTATTGGCCTTCAATTTCAGCACTCTCTAGCTCAGGAGAGGCACGTGAGGTCGATACGTTCCCATCACCAATTCCTTGATTTGTGGTAGACAATTCTAGGCTTAGCAGGTCAGGGTCCATCGTACTGACCCCCTCATGAGATCCATGGAGTGATGAATGTCTTGGGACAGATGTCAGCACGAAGTGTTTCAACGCTTCACTGCCGTATTGTATGCAAGGATGGCAATTTCCAGGCAATCCAGGACAATTGGATCTCGAACACTAGGGATTGCGCGCTAGACGTACGTAGATTCTGAGTTCCTGGATATCAATCTTTCAATGGCTTCTGGCAGCGACCCGGGTTCTCGTGGTGGCACCTCTGGGCGAGGTTGAGGGGTTGGCGGTCTACCACGACGATACGTCGCATCGTATACACAAGAGAGCTGTCGCTTAGTGCAGCCGTCGCACGGAAGAGTACCGGAGCACTTGAGCTTCTTCGTCTTACAGAAGTCGCAGGCTCGACTAATCTTCTTTGACTTGCGCCGATTTTCGGGCTCAAGTGAAGGCGGTTCCCCGGAAGAAGTGCCCGACGCTGGCTGGCCTCGTTTCCTAGACGATGATGCGTTCGATATTGCACTTGTTGGCGAATCATTAGATGTCCCGGATACGCCTCGAACGGACCCGTTTCCAGGGTTCCTACGGTTGGTAGCCGAAACGCCTGCCATGTTGGGATGGCAGCCAGGTTCGGGTCCGGATTCTCAGTGTGGCAAAACCCTGGACGGCCCACAATCGGCCCCGACACAAGGGCCGCACCCCGATCGTCGTACCAGATCGTTGATCCAGTGTCGCCCTCTGTCGTCCGGGGTTTGGATGTTGAACTGGCTGAATCTGGGGAAGGAGGCCGGAAAAACAGACTCAGGGTAACAAGAAGACGGGGATGGCGGACTTTCAACCGATACGATGAGGTTGACCTAGCACCAGGACACGTGATTAGGCAGGCGAATTCCGGATTAAGAACCATATAGTTTCCGGACATACACGAATCCGAGCTGGGTCCACTCCACTGATATGGCACATAATGAGATGCACATTTACCAATGTTCCCAGAACTGCCATCTTGACGTTGCGCAAGTTTATTGTACTTACCTTCTCCATTCAACCAATTACTGTTCAATCGGCACAGCCTGCAGTAACACGCCATGTGCTTTGATTACGTCTGGTTTCATCGACACCACATGATGTGTTTCTGTGTTCCGCGCTCTTCGATCATTCCATCGAAGTATCTGCCTCAGCCCGTGTATCATGACAAAGTGTCAAAGCAGCTGAATTGACAGAGTGGAGAAATCTTCCTCAGGCGTAAAATGCAGGACTTTTAGATAAGGATCTCGAATACATGTGAATTTAAGCCCTCCACAACTCTTATTTACGATTATCTTATCTTGCGCCCCAGGGCTGTGAAATTAACTACATACCATGGCTCCTAAATAGCTACAAAGCATACTTGAATAGGGGGCTCTTCTCACCCATCTTGTCAAGCTCCTCGTCGCTATAAGTCCGCCGGACTTCGTCCTCGTCTAGCAGCTCCTTCTCTTTGTTAAGACGTCTCAGCGAGAATTCAAGAACAGTTCCTGCAATGATACCAGCAGATGCGAAGCCAAAGGATGTCCCAAACCCAGTAGGATATCGCGGAGCCTCCCTGTCGAGATAAATGTAGCTGCCAATAAGCCCTCCAATATTGCCTACACAAACAAGGAAGCCAATGCTGATGGCGCGCTTCTGAGGGCTTGGGCAGTTGGCGACATTCCACGCGTTGACAGCAGGAAGAATGGGATACATCCTGCGCAAAATTAGTTCATGAGCGTCAGTAACGAGGACTGGAGTACTCACCCAGCACAAGCAATACAAACAGCAAAATAGCATGCGCCAATGTTGTTCTTAATATCACCACTTTTCGTGAACAGGATGCTGAATGCTACGATAAGGGACAACTGAGGCGCAACGAGAAAGGGGTACCGCCACGAGTACCGATCAGCAAAGACGGAGAAGACATAGGCAGACACTGCGCCAATGGCATACGGTGGAATGGTCATAAGTTGGGCGTCGCTGGAAGTGTAGCCCATATTCTTGATGATCTGGGGCATGGTGAACTTCATGGCGTAGTTGGGGACAGCGTTTGACCAGTTGGCAAAGATCAGAAGCCACATTTTCCAGTCAAAGACGACCGAATAGAAGGCGTGCTTATCAAAGTGCTTGTCGCGGAACTCGTCTGGACGCACGACGCGGCGGGCTGCTTGGCGGAGCTCGAGAAACCGTTTCTCATCGGCGTCGAGCCACTTGGATAGTGCGGGAGAGTCGACCAAAAGGAAAAAGCACATAATTCCGATGACAACAGTGGCAATACCCTCAATGATGAAGATCTGATAATGTCAGAAATTTGGCTCGTTTTTGGGCACGATGAAGCATACCCATCTCCAGCCCTCGAGGCCTGCTACACCATCCATCTTCGCGATGGAAAATGCTAGAAGTCCCGAAAACGCACCGCCAGATGCTGCTGAAGTATATAGTATCGCAATACGGGTTTGTGTCTCGTTTGGGAGGTACCATTTGGAGATGATCAGAATTGCTCCAGGTAAGAACCCGGCCCTGTTTTTGAAAGTCAGCGGCTATCCTACTATCGGCTGAGCAGCAAACATGAAGAACAAGACATACTCAAACAGTCCAAGGAAGAATCGGATGGCTATGAGCCCCCCAAAATTTTGAACAACTCCTGTCAAAGTCATGATGACTCCCCAGACAGTGACAATTCCTCCCATGTAGAGCGACGGCCGTTTGAACATGTGGAGGATCATGTTGCTGGGCACCTCGGCCAGAACGAAGGGAATGAAGAAGATAGACACCGCGACATTGTAATCGATGTTGCTCATATTGAGAGTCTTCGGCAAGCCCTCTATCTTGGCATTTCCAATGTTCGTCTTATCAAGATACGCCATAAGGTACAATAGTACTAGCATGGGCACAAGACGTAACTGAAGCAAGATGTCAGTTCAAGACGTAGAGTATATGGTGGTGAGTAGAGGAAGATGCGACTAACATCCACTTTTCGAACTGCCTTCTTCTTTCGCTCATCCGGAAATCTGGCGAGGAACTCAATATCTTCAGGGCTCATGCCTCCACGATGTTGAAACTCGGTACGCATGACGGTATCCTTCTCGGGTGGTATATTTTCGGCATCCGAACGAATAGAGAGTGTCCTATGCGCAGTAGTCGCCATGATAATTCTCAAGTGATTTAAAATCTGTTGAATGAAAAGATAATTGTGATGCGGTGCGAGCGTGGCAACTGATGTGTTTTGCCTTGTCGTTATATTGGTGAACCAAGTCGGCTTCGGTTGACGCCGACTGCTTTGACTTTATACAACAACATGCCACCAACCTGCAACAAGTAAGTCTACCTGAGACCTTGAACAAGGTACTCGCCTGGGAGTGATCTGTCTGGAGAACCTGGAGTGGTACGGGGAAAGTTTTCCCCAGAAAATTTAGTCCGGGGTAGCAGAATCTGCCGATCCTCCGGACTTGGGCTCGGAAAACGGGTTCGACCATTCTAGTCGCAACGCTAGGCCTGTTGGTAAGTTAGCGCAATTTGACTTATCATTGATTTGACCGGCTCTCAGTTCCAAAGAGTCCGAGTAACACTAGGGTCAGACTCCGGATTTTCTTATCGGATTAGTAACTCTGATCGGGCTCGGTCCGGAAACTGGTTTCTGTCACTACAACGTCCAGGGGCTCACCCAATTTGGGGCTCCGGTTGATATCCCATTGAGGTTTCCCGCGTGGGCTTCGAACATGAGTTTCGGAGCCCGGCAGATGGTTCGCGACTTCGGCTTTCGCTCGAGCGCGACAAGACATTTCGTCTTCGCCTCTGAGGTTGAGCCGATGGACGCGATGACGCTGTGAAAGCCATCTATATAAGCAGAACGCGTTCAACTGATGAAACAGATCAAGTCCTCTTCTTCTCACAGCAAAATCACTCTTAGCATCACTATCTTCCTACTCTACATTCTTCACATCTTTAAGCTTAATACGAAAGCTGTTCCCAATCCATCAACAGCATATCAATCACAATGGGCTCTGTTCCTCAAGTCGGTTTTGATGTCCGTGGCCTCACACCGGCCCCCGTCACACCCTTCACCAAGGAAGGCGCAGTAGACTATGAAGCTATTCAACGTCTCGGTTCCTGGTTGGGAAGCATCCCCGGCGTCAAGGGTCTCGTTGTCCTCGGGCACGCCGGTGAGGGGACTTTCCTCACCCAAGATGAGCAGCTCGAAGTCATCCGCGCCTTCCACAAGTCTGTCGGAGGTCGTGTTCCAATCATCGCGGGCATCACTGGCGAGGGTACTGAGGTTGCTGCCCTCGAGGCCAAGCGCGCCAAGGAGGCCGGCGCCGCCGCCGGTCTGCTGTATCCATCTCACGGCTGGCTCCGCTTCGGCTACCAGCCCGGCGCGCCGCAAGACCGTTACAAGCGGGTGTACGAGGTCAGCCAGCTACCTCTGATTCTTTTCCAGTATCCCGACAACACAAAGGCCACATACAACCTGCAAACCATGCTTGACATCTCTGCACAGCCGGGCGTCTTTGCCATGAAGAACGGCGTCCGCAACATGCGCCGGTGGGACACCGAGATCCCCGTCATTCGCGAGCAGCGTCCGGATCTGCAAATACTGACTTGCCACGACGAATACCTCCTTCACACCGTCTTCGATGTGGATGGTATGCTCGTCGGCTACGGAAACATTGCCCCTGAGGCGCTCCTGGAGATGATCGCTGCCGGCCAGGCCAAGGACTACAAGAAGGCACGAGCTATCCATGACCAGCTTCTCCCTGTCACCAAGGCCGTCTACCATCGCGGCTCGCACATGGAGGGTACCGTTGCGCTGAAGCACGCGCTTGTTGCTCGAGGAATCTTGGACCATGCCACGGTGCGTTCACCACTACTGCCACTCGAGGACGGTGCCGAGAAGGAGATCCACGCTGCTATCCAGGCGGCTACGCTACCTCGCGTGGCGTGAGTTATCTAATATTCAGGATAGATGAAACTGGCCCGTAGAGAATAAATTACAGTATTTCCAATTCGTGGTGCACTTCAGATACGAGGCATTCGTCCTAGTTAGGGCACGATACAATTTGCACTTTTTCATCCAAGAAGACAATCGCGGTCCTGATCTCGGCCCGAGAAAAGCCTGTTCTAGCTTCTCCCTGGGTTCCAATCAACAAAGCCTATGAGCTGCTTCAGATTTCTTTGCGGTAGTCTTGCATGTGGGAGGTGGCGCGGATTTCAATAAGCACGATTGGGCAGTTGGCACCAGCTCACCATACTTCAAGCTAGCCACAGACTTATTGGCATTGAATTAATTACAGCGTCCTTTGCCCATGTCCTCCATCATATATTCTTGGCTAGAAGCGCTCGTTACATAGAGGTTTTATCATTAGGCTGTACTTGTCATCAGAGGCATTCTATGCTTTCGACGCCTTGAATCCTGTTTCCTCTCTCACCCTACATCTCGGTCGTGGAGCCCGATCAGTTTCACGCGCGTACCAGGCTCATTCTCTGCTCTAGATATGCAGTCCCCGGCACAAGAAAGATGAGAAGGGGTAAACGAGTGTGGTAGATTCTTGTGTGATTTTCTCTCTTGGCTGGCCGCATGGCACTATTTCAGAATTTGCCTTTGGAGCGTCCAATGTTCTGTGCGGGAAGGCTCTGGGCCTTTGGTGACGGTAGGGACAGGAATTGTTTATGTTGCGAGGCCGGGCCACGTTCCTGCGCATGGTGGTCTCTTCCCCGAGGACCCGGCCTGTTTTCTTCAGGATCATGATGCTGAGGCGGTATCTCGTGTGAAATCTGTCGAAAGACTGCTGAGACAAGTCTCTGCCAACTCGTGACGAGTGGTGGAACTCTATCCACCTGGGCGTGGCGGAGCGAGTATCTTACGCAAAGGCACCGACCACGGACATGCCGGCGGCTATATCTTAGGTTAACGAGTGCGTCGAAGGATCAAATTGAGGAGAGACCTACCGCCCAGCAAAACCCATGCAAAGGCTACCCTCTTGTCCTTCTTGGTCATCAGGAGATCAGCCTCCTCTGACAGGAAGTCTTCGGCGAGTAGATCCACCAGAGCGGCATAGAGCAAGAGACCAGAAGATCTATTCTGGTGTTAATTCCTGATTCTCAAGACCAGTTTGCGGATGGTCCACTTACATAGCATTGAAGACGCCGACAATAATGAGACCAAAGGCACTGCTGGGGTCGTAGCTGCCCCTCGCCACCAGACCGATAGCCTGACCGATGGGTGCCGTGGTGCCAAAGGCAACAACTAGTAGCCATGGCCGTACGCTCCCTTGGGGGTAGGGCACCTCTGCGATACGTGAGCCAAGACCGAGACCCTCAAACATCTGGTGGAAGATGATGGCGACGACCAAGATTATGAACCCGTCAATGGTGAGCGAAATGGTGATGCCAACAAAGATGGAGTGAAACAGGATACCGCCCTCCAGTAGCGTAATGTTCATTGACATCTTCCGATACACGGCAGGGTCAACCATCTGACCTTCGGCGTCAAGGTGACCCTCGATAGCAGGAACGGGAACGACGGAGACACGACTCGCAGCGCTCTTCTCGTTCGTGTGTCCCTGCGAGGCGTTGATCATGTTCATCATCTCGAGGCGTTGGCGGACATACTGCTCGTAGAACACGACGAACCAAGGGGGCATCTCCGAGTCCGGAGGTGGGGCAACAACGTTGTTGGGATCGCGGAAAGGGTCGTTGACGTAAGGATAACGATCCCCTTTCTCCTGGTTGTATGTGGCCATGGCGACCTTCTTCTCAAAGTAAAGGCTCTCCTCGTCATCGGCATCGAAGGTGTTGCGAAACTGACGGGCCGGGCGGACGGGAGGCTGCTGTTGCTGGACTGCCGTGGGCCGCGGGCGGTGAGCGGTGACATCGCCGGTTGGGCCGCCATGGGAGTGACCGCCGGTCTTGGCGTGGAGGTACATCTCGACCGTGAAGAGTGCGAACATGGCGGCCATCATGATGACACCGGGCATGGCCGGGTATTGGTCGGTGAAGAGGTCGGGCAGACACGGGTCCGTCAGGCTTGCGAAAGCCGTGGGCAAGAGCTGGAAGCGTGAGATGGAGCGAGCATGCTGGTGAGGGCCTGAACAACTTACATGAACAAACGCCGTAGCAACCAAAACGCCGGTACCAAAATGTTTGCAAGCAAAGAAAACCTTGGGAGGGACCTTGAGCCACTTGACTTTCTTAGCCACGACGGGAAAGCCGGCACCTGAGATGGTTAGCTCACTCATGTAGATGTGAGACTGATCGGTGAGAACAGCTTCTTACCAAAAATTGACGCCGCCAACACCAGAACTACACCGCATTAGCAATCATTTCCTCACTCATGGTATGCTCTGCTGTTGACTTACACAGGGCTGCCACGTGAAGGGGCAGGTCATATTCCCCTGGCTCTTGGCCTCCACCGCACTGAGGCTTCGCATTCGGGAGGGGATCCATTTTGCAGCTAAATCTCGTGCACAGAGAGAGGTAATTGAAAATATGAAGTAAAACAGTGAATCAAAGAATAAAAGTTTGAGTATGAGCTGCCAGATTATCCAGGGCGCGTACACTACTCGTAATTTCAAAAGGGGGACCAAGCGGAGGGAATGAAAGGGACGAACGAAGCTGTCCCGCAGCTTCAACGCAAGAACAACAGACGAAAATGACTGTGCAACGAAATCAGAAGATGCCGGGTCCTGAAAGGAAAGAATCGAGGCCAAGAGGAAAGGAAATGGAGTAACAGTCAAGACCTAGCGAGACCTTCCCAAGGATGGAGTATGTTCTGGTCACGGCCAGTTGCCAGCTTTAGTAGGCCTAGACGAACCCGAGCCGCAACGAAGTGCAAGGTCACGGACCGGAACGGCAAGTATTGACGCGTCCGTTCTCACGTAGAAGCAACGGATCATCGGCTTGACATGACACAGAACGGCGGCAATATGATGCCAAGCCTGCAGCAGGGCACGGAAACAACAGAGACCGTAGCATAGCTGATCGAACAACGAGAAGGAAGAGCCGACTCTTGGCATGTAGGCCTACGATGCTACTGCTTGGCAGATATCGTGAAGATCAATTCGAAGTTGAGACTGTCTGTCTAAGCATGTTTTGCCGGATATGGGCTTGGGTCCAGTCCGATTCGAGAAAAACAAAGGACAGTATCACCCAAAATAGAGCATGGCACGCTGCTGGGGGTCGAGACCTCACCAAAGGGAAGAAAAGAACGGGGGGCCAGGGGTCCAGAGTCGGAATGATGCAAGGGCCCCCGTCGACGAAAAGGGACCAGGGGGCCTCAAGGGAAGAGCCTTTCGGCGTGAAGCGATCGACTCGCCGCAGCAAGACGCCTATTTCAAATAAAGGTGTGAAACCGGAGATCTTGGACAGATTGCCGCAATATGTCAGGACAATTCAGGTTAGAGCCAACGGCGCGTTTCAACACTAATGCAGCATGCTTCCGCCAAAGCCCGGCAGTCGTGAATTCATGAGACGAGCTAGAAGGCAAGCTATGCAGCGTAAACATCATCGGCCAAGGCTTAGCAAAGAATTTAGGGGTGTGTGGGGATGCGGGTGCGGGTGCGGGTGGTCTGGGGGCGGGGAGAGACTTTGGGTTGAGATGGCATCAGGGCGGTGCAGTGGTCGAGACAGCTAGTCGCTGGAAATCTTTGCAGACCGAAACTCATGCCAAGAGACCAAAAGAGGGGATCTTCTTTTTCTCATGGTTGCCCTGTCATGGTTGCGACCGTCACAACAACGCCAAGACATGTGATGTGAAAACCGTCTGGTGAATCTTCAGGTCAACCACAGGGAACGGACAGAGTTTGTGCGTGTGACTATGGCCCGCAATCGCCACATATGGATGAAGAACCAATGTCGTCTGCGCGCCGAGTTCCGATGGATGAGGGCAGTGCGGCGACACATTGATGATTGTGTTGCGGTCGCATTAGGTCTTTCGTCACCCGTCATCGTTGTCGTTGGTACCTAATGCGGGTGACGGAACACTCAAACAGTACGAATGTCGAATATTTACTTTTCGTTCTGCTCATTTTCAGCTGTTCGAGTAAGGTGTGGGATGGGTATAGCTGACGGTCTATCGATCACTTTCTGTTCCATCGAATGAAAGGCATTCGCGGCTCGAA